ACCATATTTTTATACGTTTTGTTCTTTATCTGCTCATGATTCCTTATATCATTAATTACTTCCATTAGTTCTTGATCAATATTAGTTTCTTTAACTATTCTTTTAAAATTTATTGGTGTGTCCCAAAAATTGTCATCAATTATTTCGTCATCTAACTTTTGTACCATCTCTTCTGTATTCATTAGTGGTAATCTGGACAAACAGTCTGGTACAATATTTCGTTTCCCGGGTCTGTGAACTATCGTAAAGTCATGCGCTCCCATAGCCAAGTTCCATTTTTGGAGTCGCATTGATATGGAAGAATTGTCCTTGAGTCCCTTCGTAAATATATACACGAGTGGCTTGTGGTCGGTAATTATTACAAATCTTGTGCCTATTAAATACTCCTGGAATTTTTTAACCGCGTAAATTACCGACAAAGCTTCTCTTTCGATATTGGTATAATTTAACTCTGATTTCAATAGTGCTCTTGACGCGAAAGCGATAGGTTTTTCTTTGCCATCACCCTCAATATGAAATAAGACTGCGCCTAAACCTTTCTTTGAAGCAACAGTTGCAATGCCCACTGGTAGATCCGGGTTATAAAAATTTAACGTAGCCGGAGTGCTTATGAGTTTTTTTAGGTAATCAAAGCTTTCTTGATGTGTACTATCCCATGACCACTTGTCTTTATTTACTATTTTGTATAAGGGATCGGCGATGTCAGCAAAATTGCACAGAAATTTTCGATAATAGCTCGCCATCCCCAAAAAAGTTGCCAATTCTTCTTTTGTCTTAGGTTCCGGCATATTAGAAATAGCCTTTATTTTATCTGCGTTCGGATGGATTCCATTGTCGTCTATATCGTGACCTAGAAACCGTAGTTTTTTTTTAAAAAATATACTCTTTGTGAAGTTTGGTGTAAGCCCATACTTTGATATTTTGTCTTTTTATGTTGTTCACCTGAGCTTCATCATCCTCCCCAGTAATCAATAAGTCATCAATATAAAACACGACGTCTTTCATGTTCCCGAAAATATTATCCATGGTTTGTTGGAATATTGCTGACGAAGTTTTTAATCCAAACGGAAGTCTTGTAAACCTGAAATAGCCTTTATGAGTTGAAATAGTGAAAAAATCTCTTGATTCTTTGTGTATTGGAACTTGAAGAAATGCATTTTTAAAGTCGATCTTTGTAAATTTCTTGCCTTTCGATAACTTTGCCATAAGGTCATTGATGCGTGGAATTGGGTACTTGAAATCCTCTAACGCAGGATTAATAGTATTCTTGAAGTCAACACATAGCCGAATTGAACCATCGCTCTTGACAACAGGAGTGAGAGGACTGGCCCATCTTACCTCTTCAACAGGTTCAATTATTTTGTCACTTATCCACTTCTGTAGTTCTTTTGTAACCAAGTCAATTCTTGAATAAGGTACACGCCTGGGAGGTATGATTTTCGGTGTAGCACCTTGTTTTAGATGTTGTTTGACATAATTGCATAGTATTGGTTTCTTGCTAAGTTTTGACTCGCATTGTTTGATCAGTTCTTGAATAGTATTGTCATAATCTTCTTCGACTAAGTTTACAAATCTATCTAGTATATTTCTAAAGACTGCTATCCAGGTCCTTCCTAAGAGTGCAATCTTATCACTCTGGACTACATAAGCAGTTAAGATTTGACTTTTGTCTTCGAATTTTGCCTTGACTTTGGTAGTTCCTAAAACATTTATTGTGTTTCCATCATAACCAGTTAATTTAATATCTGATTTATTTAAGATTTTTACTCCAATCTTTTTCGCGATATGAATCGGTAGAATACTATACTTTGACCCGGTGTCGATCTGCATCAAAATAGGCACGTCGTTCAAATATACCGTGACCTTATAAGCATCGTTAGCTGTGTAATTATTATCGGTATCCATATTGTTTATGTCTAAATTGTATAAATTATATTCTTTTCTTTCTAGTTTGTCAATATCATCTTCTTTTATCTCTTCTATATTTACAGTGTTTACTTTATTTGTATATCGTGATTGATTATTGTCGTTGTTATGATATTTATAATTGCATACTTGATTAGTTCCTCGATTTCCAATATTATGATTATCGTTATATCTTTGAATACATCTTGAATCGTTATAATGTCTGTTATATCTGTAATTATAATCATTATTAAATCTATTATTATTATAGTCATTTTTAATATAACTAGCTCTATTATCAAATCTCGAAGAATTATTGTACGATCCTGGATAGTTTGCTCTGACGTTGTAATAATTCGCGTTATAATTCTGATATCTAGGGTTGTAATTATTTCCTTGGAAACTGGGGTTATAATTATTTCCTTGATAAATATTTCTTTGAAAGTCATGGCCTCTTGCTGTCCATCGTTGTCTGTTATCGTTATTCGATCGTGGATTATGTCTATCGTCGTATCTGACCACCTGTTTGTTTTCTTCAACTTTTATGCCTCTTTGTCTTTCCAAATGTTTTACGCTTGTCTTCAGTCCAATTGATGTAACTTTCATTTTTACCTTGTACAGCTGCATTGAATAATAACAATTTCGAACTTGTAGATTTCCTCGGGTGTAATAACCTAAATTTTTCAATCAATATCGATGGATTGATGAAATCGGTAGGTGAACATATCGATTTGAGCTTGATGTATTCTTCGTCTGGTAGTCTTCTTGTGAAGGATCCTGCTTTTTCGATATCAGAGATCTGAGCATCGTTGAATATGTCTTCGAAACGACTTAGAAAAACATCGCCATTACCTGTGTATGTTGGAAATTCAATATTAATATTAACATTATTATTTGAGGTCTGTTTCATAATTTATAATTTACAATATCCTTATTTCTCTATTTTATAGTATTGGATTTTATAAAAATTTTAAGAAGTTAATTTATATTTAATATTTTAGAAAATTTTACTGCCACCATAAAAAGGTTGCAGAAATCAAAAGCAGAAAATAAATGTTATAAACGTATATTACGTCAATTTATTGATATTTAAATTAAAAAAATATAATGATCACATATTCAAAAATAGTTTGCTATATATATTGACAATGTAATTTATCATAAATTGATCTTTTTTTAAAAAGTTAAAAATAAAAAATTGAATATTAGTTTGTTAAGTAAATTGATTTATAAAATATAAAATTTAATATTAGTTTATAAAAAATTGATTTAAAATAAAAAAGGTTGTTTTTAACAAAAAGAAAGAAACAATTTTTATTACATTTGAAATATTTAAGTTACGCCATAAATGACTTAAGGATAAAAAAAAAATAATTTTTTAAAGTAATATTATTTAACAATAATCTTTATATGTTAAAAAAAATAATCTGAATTCGTTAAAAAAATTAATATTATCGTTAAGAAGAATTACTATTATATTTACTACGTTAAAAAATTTACTATTATTTTACTAAGTTAAAAAATTTACAATTATTTTTACCACGTTAAAAAATTTACTATTAATTTTACTACGTTAAAAAATTTACTATTATTTTTACTATGTTAAAAAATATTTTTACTACGTTAAAAAATTACTATTATATTTACTACGTTGAGGGAAGCAAATTGAATGTTACTAATTTTTTAAATAAATAAAGAGAAAATCATGCTAATGTATTTGTAATTTTACGATTAAAAAATAAGCAGGGGGAGCTAATAAAAAAAATGCTTATTATTTTAATAAATAAAAGGAAAAAATTTTTTTTAAATATGTTTACCTTACTTTTTTAAATAAAAATTTTTTTCTTTTTTAAATGCAATAATTTTGTTTAATAATTGTAATTATTATTGAAAATAAGATTATCTAGTATAAAAAGTAAATAAATCTATAGCTATATACTATATCAGAGGTATCTGTATCCTACTTTTTAAGATACATTTTTATATACTTTTATTTAACACTTTTTTATCAAAAAAATAAAAATATTTAAGAGCTAATTTATCTCATATGTATGAGCATATAATTTAAATAAATATGTATTATAAAAATATTAAGACTAATATAATAAAAAAAAATATATAATATTAAAACTTATATATAAAAAAAGATATAAATATTAATTTTTTCTCATATATATCTATATATATATCAGTTCAAGATTGCGAAGGATATTTTTATTATGCAAAGGAATTTATAAATCTTTGCTTAGCCATTACGCCCATTAATTATAAGCACAAAATTATTTTAAGAAATAAATTTATTTAGAATTTTGTAAAATAATTTCATAGATATACCGCTACTTTTAATGAATAAATTATAAGTTTAATGTAAAAAAAAAATTTTTTTAAATCTATTTTTGATTTTGATTGAAAAAAACTTAGTAAAAAATTAAAATCTAGCAATAACTTTTATAATTCAGTACTTGATCAATTTACTCAAAGAGAAATACGATTAATACTTTTTTCATTATATCAATTTTTTACGGTTTAACTAATAAATATAATTATCGATTGCCCCTCTAGTAGTAAACTTGACGCTTCGTCACTGTTTTATAAAAAATCTAATATAGATCAAGGCCTAAAATAAGTAGGCCTAAAGTAAAGACCTTAGATAAATATGTTTAGTGGGTCTACCGTTTAATCCCTCTCCCCTCCCCCCATTTCATTAGCAAAATCTTCGCTATGCCTATGAGTAGGACGTTTATATTTAATTATGCAAATATACATAATTAAGCTAATTTGTATAAATAACCTGAATTTTCGATATTTAAGAAATCCCCAATATCTTGATGTTTAAGAAAGAGAAAAATTTGGAGGCAACATACCTAAGATTTTCTCTCCTATTCCCCCCACCCCTTCACCTTCCATTCATATGACACTAAATGCCCTCTCATCTTTTATATTATTATAATTGTGTTCTTTATATGTAGATAAGTTTTTAATTATATATATTATATCATCACCCTTTATTTATTTTATAAGTAATAAAAGCATGGTGATTGATGGTGCATAAAATAAAATAAATTCGATTTTTTTATATATATTTTTACTTTTTTTGCACCTTGTCATTGGCTCTTTAAAAAATTGCCTTCAGGGTTCTTATTAATAATTAAATAGTATTAAAAATTCATATCATATACAAAAATGAGCCCAGAATCTTCATCATTGGAGTCAACGAAATATTTTTTGAAAGTTAAAGTTCATTCTGGTACCAAGTTGGCTAAAAAGGATATATTTGGTCTTAGGTATAATTCAATTATTCATTTTCTGATTCATTTTATTATTATTTGTGATTCTAATATTTAAAATCTAATATATAATATTGAAATTTAAATAATTTAGTGATCCCTATGTTCGTGTTACTTATCATCAGATCATTAATGGTAACAGGCTTAAAATTATTAATCAAATTCAAACTATGACCATTAAAAGGGTTTATTTAATATATTATTTATACATTATTATAGCTGTATATCAGCTTCTATTTGCTTTTATTAACCTTTTTATGATGTAATATTATTAATATTTGTTTAAGAAATTAAATTATATTGTGGAGAAGGGATGGACCAGAGTTTGCAAAGTGTTTAGTTTTTAAATTAATTTAAAATGTAATTTGATTAATTATTTTTATTGTAAAGAATTTGAATCCAATATGGGACACTGAAATGGCTTTTAATATTAGAACACCTTTGAAAGATTCATATATATTATTTGAGGTCTTTGATGAAAATCGTATCACACGAGATGACTTCTTAGGTCAGGTACGTGTTCACCTTTCAGATCCAAATATCAAAATAATATCAGATGACTTGACTTTTCCCCCAAAAAGCAATGATACCAACAATACAAATGATAATGATGATATACTACCAAATAATATTAATACAGATTTACCACCTTCTTTAGAATTAACTTTTCCTAGCTATATAGCAGCCTGGGGTGAGGATTACCAAACTATTTCTATCAAATCTCAATCAAATCATTCAGATATTCAGAAAAATGATCTAAACAATAATGACAATAATCTAAATAACAATAATCTCATATATTATTATACTGTTCATAGTTTACCCTTAGTTGATTCTATAATAGAGTTGGGCCTCAAGAAAAGAAGCCCATTGTCCAGGGTTAAAGGAACTTTAAATTTGGGCATGATTTTAGTATCGGTGCCAAAAAATAGATCAATTTTGACCTTTCCTCTTGTTAGTTATGGCTCTTCAAATTCATCCTCTTCTCCTATATCAACCATACCAACTCCCATTCTCAATGTTATTAATAACAATAATGGCACTCCTGTAAATGAAAGCAATAACCCTATTGTGACTAATATTAGTAAATCAACTTTTCCTCTTTCTAATTGTAATGATCCTAAGTCAATATCTTACTTAAATAACATTTTTGCTCCCTCCAATCCTATATCTAACAATAATGGCAGTTCTTTCGATAAATATAGAGATACATCAACCGATAGTCCTTATATAGTATTACCCCATTCACTTCAGCTTAAACATGTCCATAACAAATCTAATAATATCCTTACCAAAAACAAACTAAAGAGTGCCCAATTAGTTAAAAATACCGAAGTTTCACCTACTATCAGTCAGGATTTGAATGCAAACCAAACTAGCACCATTGGTTTGACTGAATATCACACTTCATCAATCATCAATAATAATGGTGAAAGTAAGAACAATATTAATATAAATAGTGGTATAGAGGAAAGTGTGTCAAATGAAAGTCCAACAAGCTATAGTGATTTGCAAGGGACCTCTTTTTCTCGGTTTTCAGAAAATGACATGTTATTGAATGCACCTGTAGTGACTCCGAGTAAGTTTTTTTTTTATTAAAAAAAATTATAAGCTTGCCTTCACAGTTCACACTATATAAACAATATATCCTTATATTTTTGAAGAATTAGAATTTTCAAGTTTATTTTATTATATATCAATTTTTAGCTATTTACATATATTATAATATTGTAGCTAATCATTATTATTTATTAAAAAAAATTTACTATTGTCATTGCATTATAATTGATAAGATGAAGATATGTCCACATTTGAAATAAGGTTTTATTTAATTATTTGAATCTTCATAGTTGCCTCTCTTAAGGATGACATAAAAAAATTAAAGTATTAATTTCAAAATAAATACAGACATTCAATTTATATTATAATTAATTACATTAAGATTGTTTTATTTTTTTATTATTTATTACTTTATATCAAGAAAATAAATTAAATATTTTTTTTTATCTTTCTTTCAAGAATAAGGAAAAAAAAACAAGATGCCATCATCATTTAATATTTAACCTATATTTACACTTTATCATCTAAATACATGTCTTATTATGGAGAATATACATTTTACCTTTTTCTAAACAACATTTTACAAATATAAACAATTTCCATTTTTATCAATTATTAAATCACTCAAAATTGAGGTTTCGATACTTAATATTAAGAAGGACATTTTTTTGGAAGGGAGGGGGGCTGTTTAATTGAAGGTGTTTTATTTTTTTGAATGGAATACGTCTAATTTTGCTACTTGTTCCTATCCTTCCTTATAAGAACTGAATAAAATTTTATATCTGGATCCTAATTTAGTTAAGGTTATATCCAAAGTAGTGATTTGCATCAGATCTAATTTTTCAAGCCCATCCTGAAATTTTTATTAAAAAATTTGTCCTGCATGACCCTATCCTGATCAAGCCCGACCTGAAATATAAATAAGATTATTTGTTCGCTCGGCCCGAATTCATAATAAGAAAAATTAAAAAAAATTTTGATTGTAAATATTATTAATTTGTCTCACAAAATTTAATATCTTATTTAAAAATTTAGGCCCGACCCGAGATTTTTAAATAAATATTAAGCCCGAACCATAATTATTTTTGAAAAATAGGTGATTTGGCAGATCTCTAATCCAAAATATCAAAAAATTCTATTCATAAACTTTTGAAACTTTATCGAAAAAGAAGAAATAATCTTTTTTTAATATAAAAATAAAAACATGTTCAAAATTTAATTCTAGAAAATTTCAAAAATTTAACATAGATTTCATAAAATTTTTAAACTCTCTTACTGCCAAATCAGTAAAAATTGAAATAAAATTTTGAGTAAATAATTTTTTCGAGATCTGCAGAGGTACCATTTTCATGGCCTGGCCCGGATTTTTTTAAAATATATTATATTTAATTTTAATGTTTATAGCTAATAATGGCGATTTAAAATATTTGATTTTAAAATATACGGCCCTGCCCGGGTATTTTTTTCAAAAAAAATTTCAGGTCCGGCCTGGGTTTTTTTAAAAAAATTTAGGCCCGGCTCAGATATATTATAAAATAATACGGTCCGACCCGTGTATCTAGGCCGGGCCGATCCTGCAGATATCTGATTTTTAAAAAAAATATATATTAAAATATTTTAGCGGCAATCTTCAAATTTTAATATTTTTTTATCTATTAATTAAGACCGGGTCAAAAATTTGATTTGATTTAAATAAAATATTCGCTCTCTATAAATCCCAAAACTATTTTTGTCAGGGACCTAATTAGAAAAGGGAAAACTTTCCCCCTCCCTCCACGAATAACCCTCCCCTCCCCTAATTAAATATTTATCAACATTCTTTTATTAAATATAAAAAGTGGTTTTTCGACTGTTTTGGGAAGCAGGTCTTTTTATGATCTTTTTCCCTTGTAATCTTGTAAAAACAAACTTGTATTTCTTTCTAAAATACAAAAATATAATATAATATATTCTGTTCGAATATGGATAAACAGTACACTTATTTATATAAAAATGGCAATTCGAACGAATACCTCTAGGAACACCATCTAGAAATACCATTTTTGTCCATACATTTTTCAACTGAATCTGGAGTTAGAATAAGAACTATAACTACCAAGTGACGCATTGGTAAAAAAAAATAATTGTGAAGAAATGAATAATTTTTGTTTAAAAATCGACTAGGCCATTTTTTTGGATATGTGAGTTATTATTCTTCTCTGTTCATCGATATTTAAATATTTTAATTCCAAATAATTGATTTTTCTATTATATAAAGAACTTTATCTTCATATATTTTTTTTGGAATTTTTTTATGCTGCTTAATTATGCATAAATTTAAGCCTTTGTTATTCACTTATTTATGAATAGGTAGTATGGCATGTAACAAAATTTATAATTATTTATTTGTAAGACTCAATTCGAGGCACAATAAATAAATAAGCCTCTGTTTGGATCACATTTATATTAAGATATGACTCTTCTACCTTCTAACATTCATATATATTTTTTATTGAGATTTTTTTATTTTCATTTTTAAATATTTTCTCCCAAAATCTGCGTAATGTGCTATTAGTTTCTTAAAATGCTTATATTTTATCTGATATCCCATGACAGATGTTTAAATCAGGGGCGGCATAGCCTTTACAATCTCGAGGGGCTCATCAGGCCTTTTTTTTTATCTAACATTATCAAAATTACATTTGGTATAAAAAAGTTCAAAATTTTGAGGGGACTCTTCAGATTTTTTACGGGACTCTAGCTCCTGCGCCCCCCCCCCACCCAGTGATGTTACTGACTTAAATAATAATTTTTGAATGTTTATATTCGGCCTGTCATATAAATGTGTAAATGGTTCCTTTATATTATATTATGAATATAGTTTTTTTCTTAAGAAAATACTGAGGCAGACACATTTTGGATTTCTCTCTATGGAAGACTGACAATGCGTTTTCTGATGCTAGCGTTTAAGTTGAAGAACTTCAACAATATCTAGATGCTAAATTATATATTGGAGATGATAATATTTTAAATTGGTGAAAGACAAATCATAATGACTTTCCAAATTTATTGGCTCTTAAACTCCTAGTTATCCCTGCTTCGTCGGTTAGCAGTGGAAGAGCGTTTTCAGCTGCTGGCAGGGTCTTTGAAGAAAAAAGGACTCGTTTTAAAGCCAGATAAACTGAACTTCTCATTATTTATATATCACAATTATTCACTTTGTTATACTTTTGATAATGATATCGATATGCTATTTTAATGTGTTCATTATTATATTTTTTAGTTCAATATTAACTATTATATCATCTACATTCGACATGAATCATGCTTATTGTTTTTATATAATCGTATTAATTTTTAAATTCGATTGTATTTTAACTTTTTTATAAAATTTTTTACAAATTAAATAATGCAACTTAATATATATTTTGATTAGATCATGACCATTAAATAAACTTTTATTTAAGGTAGCGATGAATAAATACACATAAATTATTTTTGGATATTATAATATTTCTTTTTTACGATCATGGGTTACTTTATTTGAATATTTACTGATATGATATGTTGTCAAAATGTAGTAGCAAATAATTAATTTTTTTAAAAGGTAATAAACTCAAATTGTAAAATTTTATTCGGGTTTGGGTCGGGTTGGATTAAAAAAATTTGCGTTCGGGTCGGACTCGGACAAATTTTTTTTAAATTTCGGGTGGGGCTCGGGTTGCGAAAATTTTTTTTGCAGACCTCTAGTTAGTATTATTAAAAAATTAAAAGTCTTGTTGACGTGTTGACCATCTAAAACATGTGTAATTAATTAAATAATTAATAACTTTTAAATTTATGTATTCCGTTAAAATTCCCAATTCATTTTTTTATACCGGAAATACCCAACCAATTTTTTTTTTAAATAGCTAAACATTTTGCAATATGTAAAAAAAAAAATTTAATGTTAATATTATTTTTACACACTCAAAAAAAATGTAAATTAATCTTTCAAAAAAAATATTCCTTTTATTTTAAAAAATTACTCTTAATCCTTTATCTACTCCAGCTTCCCCCAATTCTCTCCAAACGATGTACCCTATATCACCTTTTGACCTCGCGATGTCCTCTCATAAAGATGATCTAGAAGCTGCCGTATTATCTCCCCTCGTCAAATCGAACAACGTTCAAATCTCGCAATTTTATATCAGCCAAAATAATAATGATATTACTATGAAAAATGACAACTCCGCCAAATCTATCGGTTCGAGTAACGAAGAAATGACTGAAATGGGAGAGCCAGCTTTGCCGGACGGCTGGGAGGCCAGGCAAGACGCCAATGGCCGCATATTTTACATATGTCACAGGGAAAAGAGGACTCAATGGGAAAGACCTAATTTGTGAGTGTTTTTAATTATTTATTTTTTTAAATGCACATATACATATTTGGAGATGTATTTTTTAATTATTTATTTTTTACATTATAATTGCCAGGCTTTAGATAGAGAACATTAAACGATTTAACACAACATCCAAACAATTAATATAAGATTTGAATAATAAGATTTATGATATCTTTAGAAATGGTATAAATTACCTTCGTATGTTCATATTTATAAAAAAAAATGCGTAACTTATAAAAAGAAAGAAATTCAAAATAGAAGAAAATATGATTTTGATAAAACTCAATATTAGACGACACTACTTTATAACCTCAATTTATTTTGTTTTAAGATCGATATTTTAAAAAAAATATTATTTTTGAAAAATATAAATTATTGCATATAACGCAAATACTTATACTATATATCAAGGCAGAATCGATTTGCATTAATTACAAAGAAAAATATTTCATAATTTAAACATTTTCCTTTCAATATAAATATATAATTCATTATCAAAAATTTTGAGTTATTGGGGGGAGGGACAGGAATTTTTATTTGGGAGGCCAACTCTCCCTCTGACCCTCTATAGTTACATCAATGAATTAATGCCAAAAAAAATCGAATTCGGTTATAAGATAATTATTATAATTTGGTTCAATCGTTTATAAAAAAAATAAATATTTATTTTTAAATTAACGCACGAATTGTTTTCGTTATAGGGGTATAATTTTTAAAAGCAAATTTATATTTTTAATTGACAATCAAACAGTGCATATATCAGGAAACAAATTTGTAAGTTAAGGGTAGCTAAATTATATATTTTTAGAATAAATATATATAGTGTTTATGACGTTTCAAGCCGCACGACCCAAACTTGTTTTTCAGACAGATAAAAATTATAAGATCTTAATTATCAGATAAGATCAAAAAAAATTGTCTTAATCAAATAAACTTATAATATCATATTTAAAACCGGCTTTCCAAAAAAAGGAAGATGACTTTTAATTCGCGAATTTACAAATAAATAAAAATAATGCCAAAATTTATTATATATTTTTGTTAACATATTTGAAAATAAAAACAATTTTTAAAACCAAATTCTTAATGATATAGAAATGATATTTGTGACAATACACTTTCTACCAGCTTTAATTCTCGCAACGAAAATGGCGATACATTTGACTTGAATGATGATAATATGTTGCATCAATCTCGTCCTACTTCTTCCTCAAATCTTTCCAATCTATCCAAAGAACGTAAGGTTTACAATCTTAGAAGACATATCAGTGTCGACTATACCAGCGATTACCCCTCAAACAATGTTCCCACAACAGTTAATAAAAAAAATTTATATAATATTTTTATTTTAAATTTTATAATTATATTTTTTTTAAAGATCCGATTTCTACAAATAAATTTATTTCCCAAAACAGCTAGTTTTAGTGCCTTCCTGGCATTATTTAAAATTTATAATATAATTGTTGGGTAACTATTCCTACTTTGCCAGAAGTTATAACACACTTTTCCCGCCTTCCGACCGAAACCTTACCTCTCATTCATAGTTAGCGCTAATTTACAACAATGCGCTAATTGTGAATGAGGGGATAGGGGCCATATTTTTCTCAGCAGAGTGGTTATAATAATAATCTTAGAATAATACTAATCTACAGAGATGTTCCAACTGACTTGGTATTATAGTGTTATTAAAATCTTCGATTTAGCCAATTTATTTTAAAAAATCGGTAAAATCAAAATTTTAGATGAGCAATTACCTAAGCCTCGAAATTTCGTTAAAAGAAAGCGAAATCTTCGCGCCATCATTTGGCCATATCTTGAGGCTTGGGTAATTAATTTTGATTTATGCGGTGTTTTTAAAAAAGATTTTTAACACTACTTGATATTGATCAACTATAACGGCCAATGAAATTTTAGCCGAAATTGGCCCACACCCAAAAATGATAAATAACCCTGATAAGCTTAGAAGAAGAAAAAATTTTTAAGCCTACAAGCCATGAATTGATAAAAAAAATAGTCATCTACCAATTTTTCATCACATTTATTTTTTTTATTACTTTTGTAAAATTTCATATATTACTAAAATTTATGATTAATTTGTATCCTTGTTACAATAAACACTACATATTATATTACTATAATTTTTTGGTACCGGCCAAAAACGTGGCATCGGTTTATTCTGCTTATTTTTGAAAATATATTATAATAATAGTCATTTTTTTTACAATAAATAAAGGTATATCCCAATCCTTTTTTTAAAATCATTTTAAAATATTGATTCAATTTTTTAAAAAAAAACCGAAATCAGAAACCTTCCATTTTAAGCCTTCTAAACGACCTACAAAAGCTGAGGGACAAAAACCAACCCAACAATGTTGAACCACAACAACCTCTGAACCCCAGTAATGATAGCCCCCAAGATAATTTGCATAATTCTGAAACTGTTGAAACATTACAAAATAATTCCCAAAATTCTCATACCGATCTTGAGCAAAGATCGCACGAAGACGGTTTGCCATTAGGTTGGGATACTCAATTGGCGCCCAATGGCCGCAAATTTTTTATCGATCACAACGAAAAATTGACTACTTGGATTGATCCTCGGACCAATTTGCCTAGCCCTCACCCTTCTAGGAATCGTATATAATAAAATATTTTTTATTTTTCATTTAATATTGCCATTATTGTTACATACCTGTTGAAGTAGAATGGGCTAATTAAAATCGATTAGATTAAAATCCCGATTTATATCACCCTAATTTTTTAAAAAAAATTTTCTTTACTAAATTTGATCAAAATACTTATTACAATGTAAGACTAGGACTTATTGTACTAGTAATCATTACTTATATAACGAAAAAAAATATTACTACATTTATTTTGATTTTCATTATTTTGATTTTTGACATAATGTAAAATAATAATTGTTAATATATATAATAATAATTTTTAATATGTATAATTCTAATCTCAATGTAGTGAGAGAGATTGTTTAAAATTTTAAATATAAAACCTAAAGTAATATTAAACCTAACATTATTTATTATGTTAAAAATCAGTTTGTATTAAAAAATAAAATTCCAATAATATGATTAACAATCACAGGAATTATTCATGTCCTCGACATTATTATGAATTTTATTGTTTAAGAGAACACTAGTTTTCCTATACAATTCTTTAAGCTTGAAATGAACTCTAGATGATGATGATGTAAATAAATGTTTTACATCTCGTGAATTGTCCTGCTAACCACCATTCAATTTTTTTAAAACTTTATATATTATTTCAATTGAAAACATATATTATTAAATGGGTCAGACCGATGTGGCTTAAAATTTTACCAAGATAGATAAGAGATTGGTGTTAAGATACAAAATTAGCCACATTCCATTGTCGACTCGCTCTCATTGGCTATTAAATTTGAAACATATTTAGAGGTTAATAGATAGTATAAGAAGTGTGTTGGCAAGAGTGTTATAACAATCTCCATACTTAAAAATGATGGGTTACAAGAATAACCATGTAATATTTAAATAAAAAACGAATTTAGATATAATTAAATCTTTCTTTTAATTTTGTCAAATAATCTATAAACATTTTAAAAAATTGCTCATTTGATTTATGTAATCGAGATTATTACATTAAGAGAGACAAATATAACCTTCGCATTTAAATTGGGCTAATACATCAAGACACCCAGTTGTGAAATAATAGTAGCTAAAATAAAAAATAATAAAACCATTATTTTACAAGTCAAAAAAAAATTTGGTTTAACAGTTTTATTTGAATCAGGAATTTGGCATTAGTATTCGTTTTCGAAAATATTGATTGACCTTTTTTTCGACTAACTAATATCGACTAGCTTTTGTTTTAAAAAAACAGTATGCACATATCGAATTTTTAATTGACAGTCTGTTTTTTATTTAAAAAAATATAAAATTAGCTCATGGCTTATCAATATATATTTTTTCGATAATTTCATGATCAGGTCTTCTGCAGCATTTAACCCTTTATTTATAAGGTAATATTTTTTTAGGTAAAAAAAAATTATATGATATTTTACAACCTAAATCCTTAAAATAGTAGTTTGAGTAAAATCGCAATTTATACTTAAAAAAATCGTTTAATTAAAAAAAACTTATTTTTGGATTTTGAATAAAATAAATACTAATTTTGCCAACCCTATAAAGGTTATAGAATATGGGTCATTTCACCATGTCACATCGATCAAAAAAAATTCATTTTCGGCCGACCTCGTTTAAAATTGTTAATAATTATTGGAATTATTTAAATCGATAAAATATAAGAAAGCCTTATTTTAGCTTGCTTGCACAACTGGTTCTCGAGATACAGAGCCTCAAAGTAAAATTTTTAATTATATCTCAAAAACTATGCAATTTAAATGGTTTTCTGAAAATTATGCCTATATGGTTCAAGTTGAAATACAAGGATTTCATTGGAATAATGGACTAGTTACCCTTCATCCTTTTGTGATTTATTACAAGACATTTAATAATTTACATCATTTAAGTTAATAAGATTGGAAACTCTCATTCATAACACAATTACCGTTCATTTATTTTAAAAATATTTAGTCCGCTACCTAACTTATCCAATTTCTCGAGATAAAATTGAAGCAAAATTTAATTTAAATTCATAAGAATCGCAAATATTAAAAATAAAATTTTCGAATATTAATGTGAATCTAATATATGAAAAAATAAATAGATATATAATAGACATTTTAAAAAATTTACAGATTCTAAAGACGCTATTTTTCGCACATTAGCCATGTATCTTGGGAATCAGGTGGACTAGCGGGCTAAAATAAACAGCTATCTAATTTTTTCCCCTATCTAAAAATTCCATAAATTTTTAACAATTTTAAAAGGGATCGGCCGAATCAGGATCGATTTGATATGGAATGACCAATATTACGATTGCCAATTAATCTTATAATCTTTCATAAATATGGGGGTTGGTAGTAAATCAATAACTGATATTTTAAATTGTATAATTTCACATTATATTTATTTGTAACAATTTTCAATTTTACTAATAGTTACAACAGAATTCATTAAATAAATGCATATTAATTATATTTTTTTAAAAGATTGCATTTTATTTGGCACCTTATTTAATTTATTAATATTTTTCTTTTATATAAGAATCCTTGCTCTCCGATCACTCCATATCCAGCATTTCTGATGATACCATTGAAAACGATTTTGTGGTGATAGATGGAATATCTACATCTAAATTTAGCAATAATAAAGATACGATTTCTTTATCGAATCTAAGTGTCAACCCAGCTTTCATGGTTGATGATTTGGGACCTTTGCCAGTATGATATTATATATATAATATATAAAATTTTTGAAAATTATGAATATTTTATATAATCCTAGATTTATATTTTTATTTGTAATGGAATTAACGTGATATCTTAACATAGTTAGGAAGTTTATAATATAATTTATTGATTCATGGTAAATTATAATTATTAATTTTATTTTATATCTAAAAACAGGATGGTTGGGAAGAAAGAATACACGTAGATGGTAGAATATTTTACATAGATCACAATTCTTGCTCCACTCAATGGGAAGATCCTAGGCTAAATTTAACGGCCATAGCTGGACAAGTTTATATTTACAAAAATTTGATATGAAATACCACATACTATTCTCTTAAAATTATATTTTGTTTTAAGATTTTTGGGTAGAGGGTATAAAATGTATATTGCCAATTTCCACACTAAATCATCAAAAAAACACGATATTCGATTCGCATCCAAGAAAAAATTAAATTTTATAGGGATCACATCAAGGGAGAGTCGATATTTAAGCCCATAAATTTTGAAAAAACAGGATTTTGGAGTTATTTAACAAATTTTAATTTATATATTTTAAATTGAGTGATTTTTATTTTAATAATATAACTTAACTTTCATTTTATTCTCCCCAAGGTTAATAAAAGCTTGCATACAAAATCTAGTTACAAGATATTTCATATTCATCGTTTTGGATAAAACAAAGGCCGTTTCTAGATAGACGTTTTTTTCAAATCGGGTTTTGGGTTGTTACCAGCAATTTTTTTTAATGATTAAATGGCATCTGAGTAGTGTTGTTAAAACGCCGCAAGTCGCGACCCCGACCCAAAGTTCGGGTCGTTTTTTTCGACTCAGACTTGAAGTTTATTTTTTAAGGCAAATATGTAAAAATATATTTTGCAAACATGTTAAATTAAAATTTCAGTGAAGATGTACCATAGGCAATTGACAATTGTCATAATCGTCATTTTTGAATTTTTATAAGGCAAATGGGTAAAAATATATTTTGTAAACATGTTAAATTAAGATTTCATTGAAGATGTACCTTAGAAATATGACAATTGTCATAATCGTCATTTTTAAACTTTTTTGAATTTTTTTTTAGACAAATGGGTAAAAATATATTTTGTAAACATGTTAAATTTAAATTTCAGTGAAGATGTACCATAGTAAAGTGACAATTGTGATAATCGTCATTTATGAACTTTTTTAGGCAAATGGGTAAAAATATATTTTGTAAAATGTTAAATTAAAATTTCATTGAAGATGTACCTTGAAAGTGACAATTGTCATAATCGTCATTTTTAAACTTTTTTGAATTTTTTTTAGACAAATGGGTAAAAATATATTTTGTAAACATGTTAAATTTAAATTTCAGTGAAGATGTACCATAGGAAAGTGACAATTGTCTTAATAGTCATTTTTGAACTTTTTTTCAATTTTTTTAAGGCAAATGGGTAAAAATATATTTTGTAAACATGTTAAATTAAAATTTCATTGAAGATGTACCTTGAAAGTGACAATTGTCATAATCGTCATTTTTGAACTTTTTTCAATTTAATTGAATCAGATAGATAAAAATATATACTGTAAACATGTTAAATCAATTTTTCAGTGATGAAAAACCTTGAAAAAATTAAAATAGCCATTGATAATTTTTTTGGAATATTTTGAAGAAAATGGTTAAAATATAAATTATAAACTAGTTAATTAAAATTTCAGAAGCCATAGAAAAGTGATAAAAGTTTAAATTAAATAAGAATGTTTCTTTATTCTGATTATACTTTCTCATCGCTAAAGTTGGGGATAACACTGTATTATTAATAAGATACAATAAAAAAATATATATATTTAATATTTTAATCATATTTATTTTATATGTGTAAATAGAGATATTTAAAAAAAATTTCGAAGTATTCTAAAAAGTGGTTAATAAGACGCTACTTTATTGAAAAAATAGCGGACACTCTTATAAAAACAGGCTTTGAAATACTAATTATAAATAAAATCAGTTTTCCAAAAATAAATAAGTATTTATATGAGATAGTTTGCCACCATGAATCTTTTTCTCTGGTTCTTCTAAACTAAAATATTAATATAACATGTTTTACAAATAAGATTTTTACTATTTGTTAAAAAATAATTATGACTTTTATCACTTTTCTATGGTACATCCTTAATGAAATTTTAATTTAACATGCTTACAAAATATATTTTTACCCATTTGCCTTAAAAAAATTGAAAAAAGTTTAAAAATGACTATTATGATAATTGTCACTTTCCTATGGTACATCCTCAATGAAATTTTAATTTAACATGTTTACAAAATATATTTTTACCCATTTGCCTTAAAAAAATTGAAAAAAAGTTCAAAAATGACTATTAAGACAATTGTCACTTTCCTATGGTACATCTTCACTGAAATTTAAATTTAACATGTTTACAAAATATATTTTTACCCATTTGTCTAAAAAAAATTCAAAAAAGTTTAAAAATGACGATTATGACAATTGTCACTTTCAAGGTACATCTTCAATGAAATTTTAATTTAACATTTTACAAAATATATTTTTACCCATTTGCCTAAAAAAATGACGATTATCACAATTGTCACTTTACTATGGTACATCTTCACTGAAATTTAAATTTAACATGTTTACAAAATATATTTTTACCCATTTGTCTAAAAAAAAATTCAAAAAAGTTTAAAAATGACGATTATGACAATTGTCACTTTCTTATGGTACATCTTCAATGAAATTTAAATTTAACATGTTTACAAAATATATTTTTACCCATTTGTCTAAAAAAAATTCAAAAAAGTTTGAAAATGACGATTATGACAATTGTCACTTTCAAGGTACATCTTCAATGAAATTTTAATTTAACATGTTTACAAAATATATTTTTACCCATTTGCCTAAAAAAGTTCATAAATGACGATTATCACAATTGTCACTTTCCTATGGTACATCTTCACTGAAATTTAAATTTAACATGTTTACAAAATATATTTTTACCCATTTGTCTAAAAAAATTCAAAAAAGTTCAAAAATGACGATTATGACAATTGTCACTTTCAAGGTTCATCTTCAATGAAATTTTAATTTAACATGTTTACAAAATATATTTTTACCCATTTGCCTTAAAAAAATTGAAAAAAGTTCAAAAATGACTATTATGATAATTGTCACTTTTCTATGGTACATCTTCACTGAAATTTAAATTTAACATGTTTACAAAATATATTTTTACCCATTTGTCTAAAAAAAATTCAAAAAAGTTTAAAAATGACGATTATGACAATTGTCACTTTCTTATGGTACATCTTCAATCAAATTTTATCTTAACATGTTTGCTACCCATTTGTATTTGTCTAAAAAAAATTGAAAATGTTCAAAAATGACGATTAAGACAATTGTCACTTTCCTATGGTACATCTTCACTGAAATTTTAATTTAACATGTTTGCAAAATATATTTTTACACATTGGCCTTAAAAAAATAAACTTCAAGTCTGAGTCGGAAAAAACAACCAAGTTTCAGGTCTGAGTCGAAAAAAACAACCAAACTTCAAGTCTGAGTCGAAAAAACGACCCAAACTTCAAGTCTGAGTCAAAAACGACCCAAACTTCAAGTCTGAGTCGAAAAAACGACCCAAGATTTGGGTCAGCTCTGTTCGAACCTACTCCGTTAAGCCGATTAACAACACTACATCTGAGATGTGGATCCCAAATTAATTAGACAAATTACTATTCTTTGTTTGGAAATAAAAAAATTAAAAATACGTTATGTCTAGGAAATGGCCTAACATTATTTGATTCTGATAGCCCTTTAAGAACTAACCCTTGCTAGAGATCTGCAATGACGGGCCAGACCATGCAACGTCTGAAAATTTTTTAATCGGCTGGGTTGGGCAAATTTTTTTTGTATATATATATTTGATGAATTCTGATATTTCATGGAAGTAATAATTAATAAAGTATGGTATTTTTAATTTAACCACTCCCCAAGATTATAAATAGTCGTTTATTTTTGTGTTCAAAAACATATATTTTGGTTTAGACCTTGTATTTTAAAAAAAATTGAACCGGGCCGGGCCAGGCAACTTTAGTAAAAGATTCAAACTTCCGGGCCGGGTAAAAACTATTCCTACCAGGCCGGGCCTGAGAATTTTGCCATTACTACTCTGACCCTTGTTACTAACCTTTTGGGAATTTTTTTAAACCATCACAAGAACTTTTGCTATTGATAGTGTGTTTAAATGATTGGTTTTATACGGCCAAAATCCGGGAAATGAACTAGACACGACAAATAGGAGCACCGACCCAAATCATAGAGGCCGAGTATTTCAATATTAGCATAGAAATAATTATCGTTAATAATATAAGATCGGTATAAATATGCACCATAAAATTACAAAAAAAATCTTGTTTAATTTTAAAATTGTTAAAGTAAAATGGATTTAAAGAAATCAAAGTATTTTATAAATTCGCTTAAATGTTTGGATTGTTGGCAGATCTCAAAAGAGAACGTTATTTAACAAATTTTTATTAATTTGATAATTAAAATATCTTTTAGAGTACATTTATTCAATCTAGTTCGTAATGGGGTTACAATTAATCCTAGTGCACTGAAGGATCTTTCCACCGGAGCTTGCGAATAAGGAGTAGCTAATACTACTCTCGAGAAGGTGTAGGTTATTGAAATTTTTTGGATAGCCAATATTGCAAAATATTTTGATCGGAAGGCAATTTTTGGCTATATAGTAAACAATTAATTTTCATGTCCATTAGGTAATTAGGATTAAATAACAAATAAATATATTTCGGCTCAAAATTAAAGCCGAGCCAACTATTGATCCGATTTAAGCTAACTTATCTAGTCGGCTTGAGCCTAAGCCAATTTTTACTAATTTAGGCCAGACCCCGGAAAAGTTAAATTAAACATATACTAACCTCATTTTTTAAAAATGATATATGAAATAACATATCTAAAACCCGACAAATTCTTATAATAAATTAATCTTCCTGGACCTTGAAGATAATTATTTCGAATTCGTTGCTAATTATTTTATTAATATTGAATTGAACTACTCGTTATCGAGTTCATAATTGGTTCACAATCATAACTATGCCACTCTAGAGTTTAAAGTTTTAAAAAAAAATAGTATTTGCAGATCTTGTTAAGAACAATTTATAAAAAAAAGGAATATAATATATTAATTATTAATACGATAATTATTTCTATGTGAATATTGAACTACTCGTCCTCTAGTTTTTAAATTGGGCTTACGATTACAACTCGAGTTTGCGATTCGAATTGATACAATGTTTTCGGATCAAGATAGATAATTTTCTAAAAAAAAGGAATCGAATATATTCCTTTTTAATATGATAATTATTTTCATGTGAATATTGAATTACCCCTAATTTTTAAATTGTGTTCACGATAATAACTCTAATTATAAAAATTATTCAATGTTTTAAGATTAAGAAGAGAACAATTTATAAAAAGAGGAATCTAATATTAATAGATAATTAATTCTATGCTAATATAGAAATATTCGTCCTCTATGCATAAAAATATGATTGAACAAAATATTTACAATAAAATACGATAAGTTGGTTTTGAATTGGTGCTCGGGTCTATAGATTAGGTTTACTCGATCGACCCATTTAGTTGGGTTAGTTCTGGCTCATTTTTTCGACTAAATATCATGTTAAATCGACCTAAGCAATTTATAATAGATATGGGTTGTAAAAAATTGCATTCGACATGGATGCCATCGAATTCATATTGGTTTAAATTGTGATTTTTTAAATGATTTTGACTATTCCATCAGAAAATAAAATATTTTTGATACCAATTCTCTTAGTCTTAAGAAAACTAATCATCTTAATTTTTAATAGATCAACAAAACATGCATTGCGCTACAGGATGATATGGTCTTGGTCACATAATTAGTGTGTTTGATATTAAAAATTTTATACAAAATCATGAATTCTAGAGAAATTTAATATAACTAAGAATGAATTCACTTTCATTTAAATTTTATTTAATAGTGAATTATGAAATGATGATTGTTGGGAAGAAAGAATATCGATAAATTCTGATACTAACATTAAATGTTCTAAATGTTATACGAATAAAATATAACCATTGCATGAAAAAGCGTTATTTGCATTTTTGCTTAATAATTTTTTAATTTTTTTTTAGTTCGATGAATCCCGGGCAAAATTTATATCTAAATAAATAACATTCATTAGGGGGTATATTACAAAGTGATTTTTCAGAAGTGGATAATTCCATTGGTTGATTAAAATTTCCAAAATTGGCAATAAGGTTCAAGAGATAAAACAGAAAATATAGAAGCACTAAAATCAATTATAATTAAAAAAAAAATTTTTGATCTGAAATACTTAAGTTAGCCCATTTTGTAATAATATCAATATTAATATTTTTTAAATCGATGGAGGGAAGGGGATCCTTAACCACCCTTTCTTACCACTTGCATCTGGTATGTGTTCCTGGCCCTTCAATTATTGGCCTTAAAGACGAATTTGCTAAAATTGACCTTTGTATTTACCATGTGTTCCTTTAAAATGAAAATATATATCTAGATTCTTTGCAATTATTTTTGGCATCAAACCCAAATAGCATTATTTTTGATACTATTCATCACTTAAACACCCCAGAAATTAAATATTAACTACATTCGATTCACATATCAGTAGGATTAATCACTCATGTTATATCGATGAATATGAAAAAATGGAAATACTTTGTAACTAGAGTTTAAAGGCAAAACTTATTCTCGGAACACAATTGTTTTTATAATTTTATTCCTCTTATGGGAAATAAAATGCAAGTTAAATTATATACGTATATCCTAGCTCCTATCTGAATTTTGAGGCTTAAAATAATTATTTATTAGTTACGATATTTACTATTCTTTTGGGAAAAATTAAAGAATGGGGAGCAGGCTAAAATTGTTTTCTCTTATTAATTAGACGTAGAATTTATAAATTTAGGCCAAATACTTTATCAATAGATCAATTTTAATATAATATCAATCTTAAAATATAAGGTAGCACCCTATTGATGATAGTTAATTTCTTGATATCAAACTAAGGTCTAGTTTATATTAAACGTGTAGAAGCTCAAATTATGTGATGAGTATTGCACAACGAAATAACAGCTGCTGATTTATCATAACAATTCTTCCCATCGCATCGCTAGACATTACTATAAAGACTTTATATTATTGACTTGAGTATGTATTTGCGCTCGCGATTACGATAAGCGAAGCCCTAAATACACAATTATAATTACGACCATTTTTTTTCTATATTTAAATAATTATTTCTTTCGAATAGGCGGTTCCTTACTCTCGAGATTACAAAAGGAAATATGAATATTTTAAATCTTGCCTGCCTAAACCAAAATTATCCCACCCTTCATCGTCAACTAACAATAATAGTTCGCTAACACAGCTGGCGAATCAATTAGCCTCGGCCCATTTATCGAGCCACCACAGTGCCATAAATTCGAACAATCCAACTGCGGCAGATCATAATAGCACCGGTAGCATAGCTAGTACCTCTTCCACTACAACTTCCTCCATAGTTAATAAGATAGAAATCAAAGTATCGAGGGACCGAATACTCGAGGATTCTTTTCGGATTATCATGGGACTCAAACCCGATTATTTAAAGTGATTGTGCCATAATATTATTGCAAAAAATTAAGTTTGGCATAATTTTTGATATTTTATTGTTTGTTGTTTCTCGCTGTAAAATATTAACGAAAGTATATTTAATTAAAATTGCTCAAGTCCCATTTCACTTACTTCATTTTTTTCTAAAATTAACTAATCTTTTTTAAAAAATTAATAAAAATATACACGAGGTGCTAAAAATTTTCTAAAAATGTCAGAAAAAAAATTAATATTTTTTAGGGCTGTGCCGATTCGCATATTTTTCACCGATCCGATCCGCTATTGGTTCAAAATCGATCCGATATTTATATTGATTTTTCACCATCCCTCTTTGAACCAAATGTAATTAAGAAAATCAATATTTTTTATGCAAAAGAATTATGCATTTAATTTAATTTTTTTTATTTCAACTATAATTTAAAAAAAATGATATTATAATAGATAAAATAAATATAATAATATATCCATTTTATGTTGGTTTATAAAATTGTAATATTTAACATATAAAATTATAATTTATAAGATTTTTTTTTAATAAATACAAGAGCCTCTAATTTTCAGGCAAAGGATCAGAATATTTCCAAATATTTGTTTTATTAAGAATGGCTCATATTGTTGGCTGACTTTCAGGGTGTTTTTAAAATTTGATTTGTTTTTTCTAATATTTCTCGTGCTTTTTGTATTAGCTCTTCGAATTCCGTTTGATGGAATCGCTTTAAATGTTTCCGAATATTTGCTGTATTAAATGAATTTTTCATTATTCCTCCCCGTGAAATTAGAATTCCGCAGATAACGCATTTTGCAAAATGATCTTTATCTTATCAAAATATTTCCATAATTCAGAAACATTTAAAATAATTCTTTTATTTTAAAGTATAAATATAAAATTGGTGTTATTTTTTAAAAAAAATTAAAAATAAATAAAACTTTGGGTGTTCTTTTCTATTTTTATAAAAAAACTTTTAAAATCTATTTAAAAATTAAATAACATTTGCATTGTTTAAAATAAAATTATTTAGAAAATATTATTAATGTAAAATAGAAACTCGGAAAAATTTATTATTTTTTTAAATATCTTTTTTTATTTATTTTTTTTAAATATTTTTAAAAAAATTTTTATTAAAAAAATAATAAATATGATGTAATAATAATTCTAAGTTTCATTACTCAATAGTTTTAATAATTGCATTTTTAGTAAAAGGATCGGATTGGGGTTTTACAGGTATCGGTCCGATCCGATATTTAATATCGGCACAGCCCTATTTTTTATTTAATTTGGATAGTCTAACGTACCATTCTAAAAAATTTTCGTTAGGATTTTGACATGCTAGATTAAATTTATTAATTGAAATATTTTTATCCTGTGTTTGGTAAAAGGTATCCAAGTTTTTTAATCACTATATTAAGGTCCAAAATCTCAGTATATGAGCAAATAGATTTAATATTGTCGAACGCATCATCAGATAAATTAGCAAGTATGGCATTTATTTTAACGGAGTCCGATGATGTGCTGGTCGAAAAGTAGTCAAGTACCCTTTCTATATAAACTTCTGTTAAAGGTCCGATTAGCTTAGGGAATTTGTAAGGTATACAATAAGAAAACTCATTAAGTGCCAATTTAATATATTTTAAAAAAATTTTTTTTTAATTAACTCATTAACATATGATAATTCAAACAAAAAAATGTTTGTTTTCGTAAAATAAAGAAATGATATTGTTCATATCTTGACGAATGTGCATCTGATTTGCATAAATTCGGAATCGCCATATATAAAAAATCTGTCATTTAAGGCTTCATAGTATCGCAACATATCCTTCAAGTTATAAAGCTCGAAGAACACTTCTCCGTAAACGAGTCCTCTCTTGTTTCCCAAAAATATTGGATCGGACCGATACCTGTAAAAACCCGATCCGATCCTTTTACTAAAAATGCAATTCTTAAAACTTTTGAGTAATGAAACTTTTTATTACATCATATTTATTATTTTTTTAATAAAAAATTTTTTTTTTAAATATTTAAAATAAATATTAAAAAAAATATTTAAAAAAATAATAAATTTTTTCGAGTTTCAGTGAGTTTCTATTTTACATTAATAATATTTTCTAAATAATTTTATTTTAAACAATGCAAATGTTATTTATTTTTTTAAATAGATTTTAAAAGTTTTTTTATAAAAATAGAAAGGCAAAGTTTTATTTATTTTTAATTTTTTTAAAAAATAACACCAATTTTATTATTTATATTTTAAAATAAAAGAATTATTTTAAATATGGTTTCTGAATTATGGAAATATTTTGATAAGATAAAGAGAATTTTGCAAAATGCGTTATCTGCGGAATTCTAATTTCACGGGGAGGAATAATGAAAAATTCATCTAATACAACAAATATTCGGAAACATTTAAAGCGATTCCATCAAACAGAATTCGAAGAGCTAATACAAAAAGCACGAGAAATATTTAAAAAAACAAATCAAATTTTAAAAACAAAGAGCCCTGAAAGTCAGCCAACAATATCAGTCATTCTTAATAAAACTAATATTTTGAAATATTCTGATCCTTTGCCTGAAAATCTAGAGGCTCTTGTATTTATTTAAAAAAATCTAATAAATTTTAATTTTATATGTTAAATATTACAATTTTATAAAGCAACATAAAATGGATATATTATTATATCTATTATAATATAATTTTTTTTAAAATTATAGTTGAAATAAAAAATTAAATGCATAATTCTTTTGCGTAAAAAGTATTGATTTCTTAATTACATTTGGTTCAAAGAGTGGTGGTGAAAAATTAATATATATATATCGGATCGGTGAAAAATATGTAGATCGGCACAGCCCTAATAATTTTATGTCATTTATTATATAACGAAAGCCAATAACTTATAGAGTTGTTAATTTCAACATAACTATATTTTTTTTACTCTCACTCAACACATTAAAACATTATTTCCTGTTTATTTTTTTTGCTATCAAATTTTTTATATTTGATTTATATCACTTTGAAATTTTCAAATAATATATGAACGAACCCTGCCCGATTTTTATATATTTTTTGGATTCCCTTTCTAAATCGTTAAAAATTGGGAATTCCGGTTATATCACTTAGAAAATATTTAAAGTAAATTTGAAAATTATATTTCCTCTATTTTTAATAAAAAAAATTTAAAAACTCAATTTTTATTTTATACTTCCTTAGCATCTATTAACTAATTTCAAATTTACTTTAAAAATTTCCTAGGAGATATAAGCGAGAATCCCAATTCTTAGCAATTTAAAACCTATCCCATTTTTAGACACTAGCTTGACCTTTAGACCAGCTTTCAGGACTCTCTTTCTGTTTTCCCTTTAAAGCTTATTTTAACAATATTGTTATACTTCTTAGGAGATATAAGATCCCAATTTTTAGCGATTTTCGGGATTTATAACCTATCCCATTTTTAGACCCTATCTTGACCTTCAGACCAGTTTTCAGGGGCTCTCCTTTTGTTTTCCCTTTAAGGTTTATTTTAACAAACTTGTTATACTAAAAAAAAATTTTTTATAAAAGACATAAACTCTGGATTCAATTTCAGGGCGAGGCCGTCATGGATTATGGCGGCGCGGCCAGGGAATGGTTTTTCTTGCTTTCACGACAAATATTTAACCCCTATTACGGCCTTTTCGAATATTCGGCGGTCGATAATTATACGCTTCAAATAAATCCGAATTCCAAGCAACTCATAGATTACGACGCGAACTCTAATAACAACTCTAAAGTTAATACTAGTGTTAATGGTAAAAGTATTAAAAATAATAATGGTGGAAATGGTAGTGGAAATAAGGCCGGATCGAGCGGTAAAGGCGGGCTAAACAAAAATAAAGCCTGGTAATAAACTTTAATTTTATCTTATATTTATATAAGAGAGCTGAAGAGGTATCATTTGCACGGCTCGTCCCGGATTTTTTTTCAGAAATTTTTTGGCCCGGCCCGGATTTTATATTTTCAGGCCCGGTCCGGATTTTTAAAAATTATATGATGGCGATTTAAAATTTGGTTTTAAAATATATGCCCGCCCCGGGTATATTTAAATTAAAAGCACAGGCCGGGCTTATGGCCAGACCTCCAAGTCTCTGATTTATATTTTTATGATTTCATTTAATTATAATGGAGCAAAAGAATTTGGTCGACTTATGATAATTGTATATTTTTAATTTGTCCATATATAAGAAAGTGGCTTGCTTTATGTTTTTTATTACCTAGTGATAAAAAAAATTGAAATATATCAAAAATTTGTACTGTCTTTAAAAAGATTTTATATTTTAGGCGCGTAAGCAGGAATTTATTTTGGGTGAATAATTAGAAATTTTTTTTAGAATTTTTCTAGAAGTTAAGAGTATCTTAAGTTTCAGAAATTTATTAGGACTAGTGACTATGAAATATTGGATATTTAATATACAAATTCGAATATAAATTTATAATAAAATAAAAATATATAATCAGCGTATGCTATGAAATATATTATAAGCATTTAAAATTTCACATATGAATTTAAATTATATTTTTAAAAAAATGTTAAAAATATAGATTAATGCACAAAAATATTCTTAAGAATTATTGCGAATATAAGCTTACAAAGTATTCTTGGTAAAAAAATATGCTGCATTAAAAAATGGAAAAAAATATAATTAAGAAGCATCTTATTGAAATTCAATCTTCTTTGGGATTGAGATAATTTTCAATGATTTTATTAGTTGTCAACTAGTGTTGTTAAACGGCTCGAATTTTAAAAATGAACCCAATATTTTCGCCAAAAATTTTACACACGCCTCGAGATTTCCTTAATAAATGTTCAAACCTTCTATGGGCAAAATCTCCAGGCTTGCTTAATATCCTTTTTTAAAAATCAAGCCGTTTAACAACACTAGTGTCAACTCTCTATGTGTATTAAGAAGAGCTGACACATTCTATCTATTTTCAGAAGGAGTACTTCTCAATAGTATAGTTAAACGGCTCGATTTGAGCTGATTTGGTTAAATATTGAGCTTTTTTTCTAAAAATCAGCTCAAATCGAGCCATTTAACAACACTACTTTTCAGGTATGTTTTTATTTTTGTTAGAGAAAAAAATATTCTTTTATTGGTAGAAGTTACTAATGGGTAGAGTTGCCAAGATATATAATTATTTGAATATATTAGGAAAATAGTCTAAAATATACTTGAAATTATGCGAAGCGTCTAGAGAATTTTTTGGAACATTATCAACCAATTTAACTTTATTCATCTGTAACGCATCATTGGGATACTACTAATCTTTCACAATAAAATCTGTCAAATATTTAATTTTTTTTATCAAGATTTGAAATAGATTCGGAAGAATTCTGTAGTAGCGGTGCTGCCTAATTCTTCAAAAACCTTTCATTCATCTGAATTATTAAAGTATCCAAGAGGAGGATAAAGAGTATAGTATTTTTCAATTGTGACCCTATGTTAGTATTCGAATAGAATGATGAGATTGCTTTGTTGCTAGTCGAGGTGGACAAATATTAAATTCATAGAACTCTTCTTTTTGACTCATTTGCCTTAATTTTTATAACTCCCAATATAATGCTTTCAGCTATCCTCATAGTCTCAATCAAATCTATTTCGTATTTTTGAAATATTTTACTTTTAGTCTTGCTTTTAAAAAAGTTTCAAATTATTTGCTGGAAAATTTAAAATGGTAGATAAATATAACGCCAAGGAAAATTTGAAGTCGATATTAATTAATAAAATAAATTTGACGTATTTATTCCTGCTATGAATGCAAAATAAATGTAAATTGGAATATATATGCGATAAGATGTAATAATGATTATTATAAAATATAAATTAATAATCATAAAACAGTAATATTTTTTGAAAAATATTTTTGCCGACATCTGATTTTTTTTTTAAACTTGGCCACGCATGCATACCGGCCTTTTATATTTCAATTATATAGGCAGGAATAAAGGTGCTTGCTAATAAAATGTGATAATTATTGTTTATTATATCTATTTTTTTGATCCCTCTTCTCTATATAGTGTCTTAAAGTTGCTTGAAAAATAAATTATTTATAATATATCACAAAAAAAAAATTTACAAAGCAACAACTTGCACTTGAAATATTTTAAATTTTTCGGGCGGATAGCCGGGATGGCGGTTTATCATGGAAAATTATTGGACTCCGCTTTTTTCATAAGACCATTTTACAAAATGATGCTAGGCAAACGAATAATGTTAAGAGACATGGAGTCTGTCGTACGTTAATTTTTTTTAACTTAATTTTAATAAAAATCAACTTCTGGAATTTGCATTGAAAATCATGGTGTTTTTAATCAAGTAGTGTTTCCCTACTAACCCTTAAGTAATTTACTCGGACATAGCAACACCCCAAAGATTTTTTAAAATTGTCACTACATAAATACCTGTTTATTTTTTGATCTAGGTTTTCTAAATAGCCTTCTGTATGGTCAGCAGTTTCAAGCAAAGATTTTTAAAATATAAAATAATTTTTTGAAGGCTATTTTTAATTTAAAAAATGTATATAGGTTAAGGTTGGGTCTGAATTTTTTTTTATTTACAAATTTCTGAGTTTTGAAACATCGAATTCTTAAAGCAGATTTTGAACCACAACCTAATAAAAATATAAAATTAATATTTGTATCAATTTTGTTTTATCTTTGACACACTTTTACAAAAATTATCTTAATTTATTTTATTTATAATTAACTTGAAAATAACTTATGAATGTCTAAAATATCAAGCTGACCCACCCAACTCCATTTTTTCAATCTTATCATTGAAGGGTTAAAGGCTTCTCTTTTTTTTATTATATAATAATTTTATCCTATTTAAGGATTCTACTCACATAAATTTTGGTCTTTAAAAAATTGTATTTTTTTCTGAAGGACTCCGAATACTACAAATCGTTATGTTGGATAAGGGACAATGATCCTAAAGATTTAGGCCTCACCTTTTCTATAGACGAATCCTTTTTAGGAGAAGTAAGTTTATACAATATTTTAGGGTTTAAAGTCTTACAATCTAAAGAGTTTCCATATAATAATTTTGATCATTGACTAGATATATTATTCATTTATAACAAAAAATGAAACAATATGTGTTTTTATTTTTGCATAATACTTTTTAAAAAAATGGATCCAATACATAATATATAACATAACAGATTTAAAAAAATACATTATAATTTTAAAAAATTGATTATTTAAATTTTCGTTTTTTCTTTATGTATTCCGATTTTCTACATATTCCCTTAAAATATATTTCAATATAAATTTATCTTAATTCGGTTGTCCTAGATAACCAATTTCCAAATATTGATGCATCTTATTATAATAATTTGAAAAGTCCTAATGAATAGTAAATTCATTAAGAATTGATGCTACATTATGAACTATTTCGTGTCTTATATTTGGTCGGGGATTGATTGACCTGTTTTTTAATACTCCAAAGAAATTTTCTATTGAGTTTAGTTGGGGCGATTAGGGTGATAAATATTCTATTCGCTCTTTAAAACTATCAATGAGATGGTTTTTATGGATCGATGCATTGCCCATAACTCTCGATGATGCGATAAAGTATCACATCTTCGATTCCCATATTACATAATATACTTAAATACCAGATGGTCGGACTTTAACAGTTGACGTTATATGGTGCCCAGGCATAAACAGGTGCAATATGTAAATTTATGCTTGTCTCATCTAAGAAAAATATTTTTTCTTTGGCTATATTATATTCATTATTTTTATACGATAAATTTGGCTTATATTGATAGCTCCCAGTGTGTTCCTCCTATCAGGTCTTTTCCTGCACATTTTTGGACCATCCTTTTTTTTAAGTATATTTTCTTATAGTTTCTTCGTTTTTATGAAATCCCAGAGATAAATTTTTTATAATATCGTTAATAATAAATGTATTGTTATTGTTAGTCATTAAAAGATCCATTATTTTTCTTTCTATATTGAAAATATATTAATGGTTCGTCATTTATTTTGTAGTATTGTGCAAAAATGAAAACACAAATTGTTTCATTTTTTTAATTTTTTGTTTTTACTATAATGACTTACCCTATATTTGCATAATTTTTACATTTTCCAAATATTTTTATATATTAAATTTTTCCCCTCATAAAATACCCAATTTTAAATATAGCACTAAAATTAAAAAAGAAGAATTAATTTCAAATTTAAAATAAAAAATATATTATCTCGTAGGTTATACTGAAAAACCGTTAACTTTTAAATTTTTCATTGAAACCTACTTGATTTTGCTGTATTTATATTCTAATAGGTTAATTACCTGCCATATTAATTTCAGACAATTTTTATTTTGGATTAATACTGTCGGAGAAATGGGGGATTAATATTGGAAATAAATCGGTTGGTTTATACGTTAATTGCTTTCTCTTTATATTTTTTCTTCTCTGTTAATTTATTATAAAAGGAAGAAGTTTGTTATTTTATTTATCGGAATATTTATTTTCATTTAATTTATTATAAAGGAAAAATAGTTTGTTATTTTGTTTATCGGAATATTTATTTTAATTTATTATTTATTATGGAAAATGATATCGCGTAATTTTAATATATAAATATAATTTTTATTGTAAAATATGTTTTTTTTTCTTTTTCAAATTTTTTTGGAAATTATTCTTGGCTGAAATCAATAAAATAAAAGAAAGGAAAAAGAAAGTAAAAATAATATAGAAATTTGTTTCAGTAGTAACAATAGGGTTCAGTGATAATAAGAAAGCCATTTATTAAAGTGAGACATTTGTATAATTTTTTTTATATCCATATTTTTTTAAAATTTTAAGAGCATAAAAAATATATATTTCTCGTATTTTAAATGGGAGATAATGCATTAAAATATATATTTCTCTTATTTTAAATAGGAGGCAAATATAGAATTATTCTAAAATTATATTTAACCTTTTTATTGTTGATATTGATGAATACACTACTAAAGAATTGATATATTGGAAATGCAAAAAAAGTATATAAATTAAAATTGTCTGATATTATAAAGTAGGTACTATAAACGTGCAGGAATTCAATTCCTGCAAAATCAAGTCTTTTAAAAATAAAATAATATTTAAAGCTAAAAATTCCTTTTTTTTCAAAAGGACATTTTTATTATATTATGATCGTTTAAAAAATAATATAACGGTCATTTTATTTATTTTTTTAAAAGGAAATGAATTCCTACTACTACATATAGCATATTTATTATTTATTTATACACTTAATTTACATATAATATTTATATCATAAATAAATCTACCAATTTTTTTTAAACTAGACACAACATTACGAACTAAAACCTGGCGGAGCCAACATTCCACTTAAAAATGATAATAAAGTTGAATACATTCACCTGGTCATCCAGTGGAGGTTCGTAAGTAGGATTCAAGCTCAGATGCATTCCTTTATGCAAGGATTCAATGAATTTATACCTAATCATCTAATTAAACTGTTCGACGAGAATGAAATTGAAGTTATATTATTTTTTGTTAACCTACTGTTATTACTTTAAAATAAAACTTTCTTTTCAAATGAACTCACTTTTTATTATTACATTTTAAATACATCATCCTTATATCAAAATCTGTCATTATTTTTATAACTGTTTTACAACCAATAAGATTAAGCTTTTTATATAATTTTATTTTAAAAAATTTTAAAATATCATTTTACAACTAATTTAAAAGCTCTTATTATGTGGATTAGGCGATATCGATGTTAAAGATTGGAAAGAAAATACTATATACAAAGGGGAATATCATCAAAACCATATTCTAATCCAATGGTTTTGGAGAGTAAATATTATTTTTATTTTCAATTAATTTTATTTCTTTTTTTTGTGCGGTTGAATAAATAGCCACTCAACAACACAATTTTGATTTTTTTTATAAAAACTTGTTGGTAAACAAATAACACTATAAATGTGAGAGATTGTTTAATCAACTTTAACATATTTTGGTATATTTTAATTTAAAAAATCGAAAGTCCATATTTTGAATTGAAATAAATTTGATAAGTGTAATATTTTGTTAAAACAAATTATTCTTATTTTATTCTATAAATAAGTACTTAAATTATTTTGTTTTATCACTGCATAAACAAAATAATAAAAAATAAAGATTGGTTTTTTTTTGTTCCTAGATAAGTGAGTAGAATATAGTATGATCAAATTCGCTACATTCTAAATATGTCCATGCATCCTCATTTTTGTATTTTATACCATACAGCGTCTATATGTCATTGGATGCAATTCCCCCTCAAAAACCTTAACTTACCCCCCACCCACAAAAAAATTGTGAATTAAATTAAAAAATTTCTTCTTATTTACGATGAGCCTTATAGTATATTGCTTGGCATGATTATGAGTTTGCTGAAAGAATGTCTAACTCTTAAATTATATTTAAAAATATATAGGAAATATGATATATCTAAATTATGAAATAAAAAATGTTGACGATAGAGAGACTAATACTTGGGTGCTGGGTCTTCAGGTGTTTATCTATCACTTCTTCATCTTGTTAATCCTAAAATTAGTTGAGGTCTTTAAAGTACGTTCTACCCTTCCATATGGTGTGGCTTGAACCTATATTAACGACAAATTTTTTTTATCCGAGATGTCCTTGTGGATTTGAGAAATCTAAGTTGTAACTTTAAGATCGAAAACTTGTCGATTCACGCTAGTTGAGCAAGTCCGTAGCACATATCCATGTCATCTCAGTCTGCTCTCTTTCACCTTTTCCGACAAGGGAACTGCGCCCATCTTCTTTATTAGGCTATCATTGGTCATACAACCCAGCTTGGTTCTTAGGCTCCCTCGTATCATTCACATCTCGGTTACATCCAACATCTTCTCAGCAGCTCAATATCCAAGCTTCACACCTATACAACAGAACCGGTTTGACAATAGTTAGATAGGCCTCCATTATAAGCCACAGTGCCATTTTCCTCTCCAAAGCACCCCTGATATGCTTCTCCATTTCATCTAGCTCTTCGGTATGAAATGGAGAAGTTATTAAAAAATTTAAAAATTAAAATAAATTTTTTTTTTTCAAATTTTAAAGTGGAAAAGGAGACAGTAGGCTTCCATCTCTTCGATTATGAGCTCCCAGATATCTCATAAAATTTATTTATTTTAATGTTTAATATAATGTATTATCAAATAATTTATAAGGTAATCCTTTCGATGAACAATGAAATGAGAGCTCGTCTTTTACAATTCGTAACCGGTACATCTCGAGTGCCTATGAACGGATTTAAAGAATTATACGGCAGCAATGGCCCCCAAAAGTTTTGTATAGAAAAATGGGGAAGCTCTCAAAACTTTCCCAGAGCTCACACTTGGTAATAATATTAAAATATAAAGTTTTAAATTTGCAGTTAAATCTTTAAGAAAGATTTTGATAAATTAAGTTCGCGCTAAAGTAAGTGGGTAGCCTTATGAATCTTTTTTCACACTTCATTTTAAATTTAAAGAAGTTATTTTTCTAAAACGGTAGTTTTTAATTTTATTTGAGAAGATTTTTAAAATTAAGGTTGTTGAAACTATAAAATAAAATTTTTAAAAAATTGATCACTACTAGTAAGTTGCTATAAATTTAAGAATTTACTCTTATTCACAATATTATAATTTATAAGAAATATGCATCTTCTTTTTCCAACTTCAGTTTTAACCGGTTAGATCTGCCATTTTACAATAGCTACGAAGAATTAAAGATAAAATTGATCGCGGCTCTAGAAAATGCGAAAGGCTTTGGGGGTGTTGATTAAATACACGAACGACTTTGTAAATGTCCAGAATTATCTAAACTAATGGGATTTTTTATAAAATTTATTTTTTTTTAAAAAAAAAAATTTAATAAAATTATTATCATTATAAAGAAAGCTCAATTTTTCAAAAAAAAATGTATTTAAAAATTATATATATTTTTTTTTTATATAATATTACCATATTGACAGAATGATTATTTATTTTGCGAAACGATTATCATAAAAAAATGATACTATATGCTATTAAGTAATGTTAAACGGTTCGATTAAGATTTTAGCCAAAATAATATTACGCAAGCCTCGAGATTTTGCTAATAGATGTCCAAACCTTTCTGCCATCTATGAGCAAAATCTCCAGACTTTGCATAATATTTTTTGTTTAAAATATTGGGTTAGCCGTTTAACAACGCTATTATTAAGAATTAACAAAACACCTCTTTACGGCGCAGTATTATTACATATGAGACTGATTATAGTTTTATTACTAAGTTAATTCAATTAAAATTTCTTTTTTTTAAAAAAATATTATACATAATATAATAACATTTTTTGTCATTATGGGCCATATTGTCCTAAAAGTATTTATAAAATTATACCAGCACATAGTCGTTAAATTTTTTTTAGAAATGTATTGTATATATTTTTCATTGATTATTAAAAACTTAATTCTAGATCGCATTTAATATAATATATAAAATTATTTACTGATCACATTTTTAATTATTATTTTTTTTAATAGGTTATATATGTGTCATAATTTTTAAAGGAATCAGAACTATACGGGATTAACGCGAGTTTTAAGGGATCCCTAGGGTTGATTATTTAATGGATAATCACATAATTGAAATTTTATGACTGAAATAAGAGTATTCTTAATTTTAATAAATAAGATTTGATCTGGAGAAGGGGGGGGGGGGGATATAACATAAAAATTTGATGAGTATATAATTAAAAGGTAATTTTAATTCATTTAATTATAATGTTAATTATTACTGAATTACTGAGTGGGCGACTTGAGGGGTAAGGATTAAATTTAAAATTATTTTTATTATTAAATGAAAACTAATAAACATTTTTTGACTTCAATAATAGTATTGACATTAAATTTAATATAGTCATTAAATAAAAGTTAATTAAAATATGGTTTTAATAGATTATTTTCGGAGAGGGGAGGGGGTCTAGTTTAAAGCATAAAATTGTTTGATATGGGTATCAAATCTAATTTTATTGTAACGCTTATTACTCCTAAGTGGGCGGGTCTATCTTGGGGGTTAGGTTTTCATAACAAATATGGGATTTAAATGATAATTAAATCTTTTGACTGCAATTATAAATTCTTAATGGGTAGGATTTGGCCTAAGGAGGGGGGGATTTAACATAAAAGTTTGATATGGGTATTAAATAAAAGGTAATTGTGATATTTCTTGATTGTAATGTTAATTCCCACTTTAAGCTGGCGGGTCTGGGTTTTGGTAGTCGAGTAATCAGAATATTTATACTTTTTATAATTAGGATGTTATCTGCTCGTGATTGCTTTTTAAATTTTTTTATAATATAATGATAAAACATTTATTCGCTATTCTATCAAATATATCTGCAATATTTTTATATCTTAATTTGTAAAAAATGACATTTTCCTTATAAATAAATCATCCCTATTACATTTTAATTAGAATTCATTTTGCATCTTATTATTGCGTCTGGGTAATTGCAAATTGATTGTTCTTTGAAATACAGGGTTGTAACGGACGGGCTAAAAAAATAATGCAGCAGGAGGTTTAAAAATATTTTTAAAATAATTATCGGGCGGATGCTCAGCGAATGAATAATACTATAGGTGTCAGGCGTGCGGGTCAAATTTTTTTTAAAAATAAAACAGGCACTTGACCATTAAGAAAATATTTTTTATCATAAGAACGTCTTTTCAGGTACTGAAAAATTATCTACATTTTTATTAACTATTTTTCTAAAATGAGAAAAAATTATTTCCCAAATAAGTTTCAACCCTTATTTTTGATTTTATCCTAATAACTAGCAATCTACCTTTTTGAAAATTTTTATTCCTAGGTAAACATTTAAAAGATTGTTAAGTTTCAATAATTCAGTGTTGTTGAATCTTCTAAATCCTAACAGTGAAAAATTTCGCTTAACCTAAAGGCAATAGTATATTTTTTTCCAAAATTGAGCCCTCCTTTAAGCTTAAACCTCGATCGTAGCTAAGATAGATTTCGCTTAAAAATTCGGCTTATCTTTTTTAGAGTTAGATCATCTTTTAAAAATTGAGATTATCACCACTATTTGGTGGTGAATTTCATTCTATACTATAAATAAGGCAGCGACTTATAAGAATAAGGAATATTTGAAAAAACCTTTTCCTTTCTATTAAATTTATTCTTTCGGAGGAAAATTGATCTATAAAATAGTCTGTATTCTATGGAAAGATATAAATACCACCACTGATATGAAAGGAAGCAAGATATAAAATATCCTAACCAGACTCCGATCATTATTGCCTATAAACGATAGGCAAAGGTTATAGATTTTACAAAAATTAAATTGTCCACATGATATCACGTATTGATGTCGATAAATAAAATCTGTCAAACTTATGTCCAAAAACATTGAAACAAAAGTAATAATAAATTTATTTTTTTTATCATTACCAATTAACCACTGACTAATAAAATAAAATTTAAAGTAACAATTACAAAAAAAAATATTATATATTTTTACTTTTTTAAAATGTTATAATAATTTTGGGGAAAAATTTATTTTAATAATTTCCTGCTTATGTCGACTAGTAATAAAAATATTACTTCATTTTTTTAGAAAGGTTTTTAAAAATTTTTTATTAATAATTTCCTTAACAAACAGATCTTCTAATCTAATAAAAAATTTAAGTTTAACTGAAGAAGAAATAAAATATTATAATATTATTTGAAATCTAGCGTGAAAAAATAATTAAAAATAAAATAATGGAAAAACATGGAGGCATTATAATTTGATTTAGGAAAGGAACCCATAATAGATTTTCATTTTATTATCCTTGATTACGTTCGCTTAAAATTCTACCCAAAACTTTTTTTATTAGGTTGAACACCTAGCTACTAGAGAAGGTCAAAGTCATTTAAACGAGCATAACATTCATAAATAATAGAAATCTAAATATACATACTAGGAGAATAACTACAAAATTAATCAAACAATTTTATATTGTGTAACTTAACCATCAGTGCATAAAATTACTATAATTTAAGGCGAAAGTCAATTTTTTGGCTACATAACTAATCCTGAATTTACACATTAAAATTTATAAAACCTTGTTATAGTATTTTTTTCTTTGGACCAAAAGCCACTTGAAACTAGTCCAAGCCAGATTTAAGGATGGCCAATATGAACAAAATCTTTTATAATAATTGTGAAAATAGTTATTTCTTTTATGGCAAGAACAATAATTGTTGTAAACCCAATTTTGGTATATATATATAGATGGAAATTATGTAATCATGATCATTAATTTTTTTTATATAAACTACGACGAAAAATTTATTTTACTTAAATTAATACTTACCCCATATACGATTGACCGTAACGACCCCCGATTAGGTAAATTTAAATCTGCTCTAATCCTGCGGTGCGGCGAATGCCGTTCCTTTTATTTTGTTACCAAATTAATTAAGGACTTAAATCCGCCGATACAGCGAATACCGTTCAATATTTTAATCTGCACTGATACTTCGGTGTGGCGGTTGCCGTCAGTTATGAAATAAGGACTGCGGTCGCCTTATTATTATTTACCAATGAAACTTACTCCTCCCTTTTCTTTTTTACCCCCCCCCCCCCGGCCTAAGGAAAGATTCTTCTACTTAGTAAGGCCAAGAGTGAATACTTATTCTGACAATTTAATACCCATATCGATATTGTTGAAGGTCTAGATTCACCCCAGAGGGAGAGGTTGATCTTCAATTGAATGGATCTTTTGATTAGCTATCGATTAATAGTTAATACCTATATTTGATATATACTTTCATAAAACTAAAACAACTTTAAAAAATTAATAAATAAAATTATAAATAAAAAGTGAAAGTTGTGTAAAACCGAATTTTATAATAAGATTCCCCATTACCATCGTTAAAAATTTGATAATACCGAAATATCATTCCTTAAATAACCTTTAATTTTTAGGTATCCCTTTATAACTTTCATGAACCCTGATATTTCTGATTCCTTTAAAAATTACGACATTATATAATTAACTTAATAGTTCATTCTTAGGTTTTTTTGTGAATAGGAATCTTTATATATGAGGCAAATGATGAATGACAGACCTGTGATTGAACCTTGTCTAGTGTCAACTCGTTGGATGATGTCTCGGATAATTGAAAATTAATAAATATCTTATATATATATAAACGACACAATATTTTATTTTAATACCAATAAAAAAATATATATATGTATTCGTTTTTTCTATGTATTCAACCGATATCTTCATCTGAACTACTTTGAGCAACAAATGAACTGAAAATTTCTGATAAATTGTTACTAATTGGTTCTTTGATCTATAATAATGATAATTATAATAATATTAACATTTAAACCCCCCCCCCCCAAGAATATATTAACAAATGAGTTAATTACTTTATTATCAGATCCAAAATCAAATTTCAAGCACTTTGAATCCTTGTGGGGAGTAAATGAATTTAGATCTACTTTATTATTTTGCTATAAAAATTTAAATAAGTATCCTATCGAGTTTTGAATATTAAAAATACATTTAAGCTGTTTATATCGCTGGCATCATCATTCAATTTATTTACGTAAATAATTTCTTCGTCCATTTTTTCTATTATAATTTTATCATCAAGCCACTTTTCCTGGAAAAATATTGTGTTTTTTTAATGAAAGTGTATGATATAATATTTACCTTGTGTGTAAAGTGTTTGTTGTTTTGGATTCCGTTTATTTTTTCTATATTATCAACGTTATGCATTTTGTTGTCGATTTCGTCATCTACCAGACAAGATCGTGGTATAACGGGGATTTTAGGATGAAGAATTGAATCGATTATAATCAAATTCTTTTTCGAAAACGAAGATATCTAAGTAAAATTCGAATAAGAATAAGGTTTAATCCAATTAAATTTATTTTCAAGGAGTAAATTAATAAGCAAAAATAAGATTTAATTTCATTTTTAAAATAAGCATAAATTTGTCAAAATATTTAATATTATCATATTTTGGTTCAATTACTAATAAATCACTGAGCAAAGATGTTTTATCAAAACAATCTAGAACATAATTCAATACATTCTGAGACAGGTAAGGGTAAGACATTATATAAGCCATCAAGCATTTCATGTACAATTTGGTAGGCGTGGATTGGTTATTGCAATCACTAAAAGATATGGTATTTGGGAGATCTTTCGGTTTCATTAAAATGTCAAACACTTTCTAAAAATGCATAAAAATAATTGGTTAGATTTTTCTAAAAAAAATTCATTTCTAAAATTTGACCATAATTCGATTATAAAAAGGCTATTCGGCCTGCCACATTAATATTTTTAGCCCAGCACGAACAGAAAAATTTTTTAGATCGCAGGTTCCCCGGGGAAGGAAAAATTTGTATCAAAATTTTAAAAAAATTTTCAAAAATATTCGTAAATTGACCGGCCCCAAAAAAGTTTGCTTGGCTCATGAATCATGCATATCTCTGCTTAAGATTGGGTGCATAACTCCAATTTGATAAGATTTAGAAAGCGATTAATTGTCATTTGGTTAACGTAACAAAAAAAAATTTATAAATTTTATTTAAATTATATAAACTTTAACTAAATCTGAATTTTCGAGTGGGTTTGTGTTAAGATGCAAAAATAGTGACTCTATTAGTATCAATCCCTTGTGTAAAACATTGCATTGGGCCTGAATATCAAACATGGATTCACTTCTTTGCTCTTCCTTATTACTTTTTTTGGTTAAGGCAAAAATTATAATTTCCAGTAGTGATTCAGATTCATTTTGTTTCAAGTGGATATGAGCACCTAACGATATAACAAGTTGGTTTAAACCTTCAATGAGTGCAGTAATGAAGGTTGAAAAGATTTTTTGATGGGTTATAAAAGAATTAAATGCATAGGCATCTCCCAATTTTAAATCGGCATGTATGGTAGATGAGATCTGAGAATTTTTATGTTTGATTAGGAGATTACCAAATTTGACAATTGGCAAGATTATTCTTTCCATTATAATATCAGTGTAAGGTATGGCGTTATTACCGACGCTGTAATATAAATAAAAAATTATATAGTGAATAAAAGATAACCCGCCCCCCCCCGTTCCTGACTCTAACTAATACCATGTACATCGTTTTTGTGTGATTTGAGTAAAGAAAAATAAATAATTGGTTACATTTTTAAAAGATCCTTTATCATAGGCAATAATATGGATACTACAGTGGGAGTTATTAATTCAATTTCAGAATCTTCATTTTCAAAATGAGCCTTTAAGCAACTGACATTGTGTAATGGTAATTTAATTTTTTTGGAACTATTCAGTTTTTTAAATAAAATTTCCTTCTCAATATAATTTGTCACATTGAAAAAAAGTTTTAATACCCTCAAAATGGGGATTTGTATATATATCGTCTGATGATTGTGATAACTAAAATAAATATTTTAAAAAATAATTTAAATAATAAAATGTACAATAAAATAGAATGGTTCATAATAACTAAATTTTTTAAATGATTTGCAAATAATGTTAAATTTTCTATACCAGTACCATCTTTATTTAAATTTAAAGGCTTCATGTTAAAAATGTTTTCTTTATTTATATTAGTATCATAATTGTAATCACAATAATTTTCAATTGGAATATAATATTGATCTAAAATTCTATTAATTTCATTTAGTATTCTAAAAAATATATATATTTAATGTATTAAAAAATTATAACTTCAGTATAGAGGTGTCTAAGATTTTTATGCTTATATGTTGCTTTGAAGAATTAATATGAATGGTATGCATAAAAATAACTAGGTTATAACATTGGCAAGCTTTAGATATCATTAATTCATCGTTGTAACTTTCAATAATAAATATTGCAAGTTTTTCAATGGCCATATTATATTTTTTAATAATATTAAATTGTATATTATGAGAATAAAATCTTAAACATTCTATTAATATATTTACAACCATGTATAAGGAGTTGTGACATTCAATTAACTTTTCTTGATTATTGCAAGACTACATATAATACTTAAAAATAATTACAGCATTTTATTTACATCTAATAAGGAATTTGCATAATTTAAAATATTTCCCAATAACTTGTTGATATATTCATTCATCAAGTCATAAACATCTTTGTTAATAAAAGGTAATAATGAAAATAAGTTTTTCACATATTTTATAATGTCATTATGATAATAAGCAATAATTTGACTGCCCTAATACATGATACATATATGTTATTATAAACAATTATATTTTACTTCTAATAATGAACAAATAATATCAAACCATGCTGTAATATTTTCAGAAACAAGATATATAGGAGTAAATGGTATAGTTTGATTAAGGGATTTAATGTCATTAAGTCTAGATCTATAAATTTGTATTTGTTTAATCAATATTAAAGATTATAACTTTGTTGTAACATTATTTGAAGCAATACTCATGTTTTTAAATTTATGCACGAATGGTAATCTAGAATTTATGCTAAACCATGACCGGCCTTAAATAATTATTAAAAAGTATGTACGAAGTAGTCATACATACTATCTAAAATAGTAGTCTCTTCGCAATTTTTTATTTAATGCATAAAATTTTAATGAAAATAATATTACTTAATTTAAACCAAATATTTATATTTATAATAAAATAAAAATATATTGATATAAAAAATATATTTAGAATGCATTCAATCATATTATATGAAAGAGTTTCATTAATATAATATAATTATAAAAAACGATTCATAAATAATGTCAAATCTCATTTATCATTCACAAACAATTGTAAATTCTAAAGAAAAAAGAAGGTAAGAACGCCTATCTACAGCATCTACGTGTGCGGGGGGGGGGGGGCAGGTTGTATTTAAATTTTTATGGGGGGGATAGACTCCTATAAGGGGGTAGGTTAAATTTATTGAGGGATCATCTATTAATTAGATGAAATAGGACTTGATTATTTTATTATAGACCTAATACATTGATACCAGGGGCGTCGCTCTTCTTTACAATCTCAGGGGGCTCAACTAAAAAAAAATTTATGGGGGACTTTGTTCCCATAGCCCCTAATCCCGCTTTTCCCCGGCCTTCAGCCCGGTTATATATTAATATATTATAGTTTTTTAAAATTTGCTAACTCTGATCAATTATTCTGAATTTAATATTTTGTCATTTATTATATTTTGCATACAAAATAAACTAGCATATAAATAATTAAAACAATACAAGATATTTCCAAAAATAATATTTTTTGATACAACATCTATTTATTATAGAATAAAATATTTTCCTTAGCTGATATAAAAAAAATTTGCATCTAAAGAATTACAAGTGATATAAAAAATTAATTAATTCATACATATGCCTCAATTGATATGGGTTTTTAAAAACCACATAATATAATACAATTCTTAGCAACTTATATTGACAAACTGTCATGAAACTAATATAACTCTCTGTTACCATTTTAGACAATGTTCATGAATGGACCTATAAGGAAAAAAAATAGGCAACCAAATCAACAATTCTTAAATGTTACATATTCAAAATTGATAACTTATTACTTTTTGTTTTTAATATTTTTAATCTAATTTTTGTAACCTTACTTATATTACTTTTTATTTTTCATAACCTTCATTTTTGTTTTTTTTGTTTAATCATATATATTCTAATTTATATTTATAGATAATATATATATAGTATGTGTAAAAAGAGAAAAAGTAGTTAATAATAATAAAATATATTTACTTACTCGCACGTTTATCATGGTTCTCTTCATTAAAGAAGAGATAAACGATCAATCCAAATCATGAAGTTATATGATGGTTAGAACTATGATGGAAGCTAGATAAGTAATCAAAAAAATTATTGTGAGATATTAAATTTCTAAAAGATTATCTTCCATTTTAAATAATATAAAAACTATTATACAGTTGACCATTATTGCTTAACTAAAATATGCATCACATGCTCTCAGCAGCTGTAATAATAATATTAACTTACATTGCCACACAAATAATAGATGCTGGATAATTTGCAGTCATAGCCATGACACTCACGGTATTAACATCAGAATTTTGTTAAATAAATTGATAAAACAAAAACACTAAAAATCTTTAGAAGAAATTATCTAAATATATTGAAGCCTTATGTTATTTACACGGCAGGGTCACCATATTAGAAATGAAACATTTTAACCAGAGTGATATGATAAAAACAATTAAGATTTTATGTTTAATTGTGTAACCACCTCGAGTTAGTATATTATATGTATATCTTAAAATAATAGTAGTTTGTAAAAATATCAAAAATATACTCGTATTAAAAATTTAACTCGAAACTGTTGGACTGGGCTTTGCAGTTCTCCTATTCATAGAATCGAAGAAAAAATATAAAAATCTATTTAAGATAAGCCATGTCCACATAATAGAATTTGGATGCAAATCCTCCTCAAAAAATGTCTACCCACTAAAAAATTTTCACCGTCTTAGGCGGTGATGTTTTTCCATTATTAATTAACCTTTTTAATTATAATGGTACTCCTTTCATAAATTTTAAAAAGAGCAACTTCAATTATTTTAGCTCTACTACCAACTTTCAAAATATTGTGAATATAAAAGAGTTATTTTTTAGATCATGAATTCAATTAAAAACCTCCTCATTAAATGAACGCATTGTTATAGTATATTGTATGGCATGAATATGAGTCTTCTGAAGGATGTCATACCTTTTATATTACATTTAAAAGAATTACAGAAAGATTTATTTGGAAAATAATGTCTATGATTGTTTGCAATACATATACTTGGTCGATAATTAACAGCATCACTCAGTGGCGTCACTAGAGAGGGGCACGCATGGCCTAGAGCCCCCTGAAAAATTTTAATAGCCCCCTGAAGCAAATTTTTTTTTTAATGGCTCCTTAATATCCCATTGAACTAAAAATAACTTGTTTTTATAGCCCCCTCAATGATTTCTTTTAGAATTCTATTACGTAACATATAGATTTAATTTATTATTTAAAAATTAATAAGACTATCTAAATTTTTATTAAATAAATACTATTTTAATTATTAGATTGGATTAATACATATAAATTAAATTTTCACTATGTCAGTTTCAATCAAATTCTGTGTTAAAAATAGAATATCAATATAACTCACTAAAAAGTATAGATTTCTTTATAAAAAAGTAGACATAAAGTTTATAATCCCCTATTATATATAGATTATAAAATAATAGGTAAAATGCCACATTTACACACGTATTTAACAGTTATATAATATATTACAGTTAATATTTTAATAAATTTCTTAATAAATGTTTTTGATAATAAATATAAGTAACAATTTGCATTCAATTTTTTAACGCCATATACTTAAAAGTATTATTAAAAATTAAACATCTTATTATTCATCCCACAATGGATGTAATAAATTAGTTATCTTTTTTTCTCTTTTTTAATGTGTTTTTAGAAAAGCTATTTTTTTTTGAGATTTTACACAAGTTTCTTGGCTCAGTTCAATTAAATTTTTTATCTAGCCCCACGCCCAATTTTTTGTATAAATTTCCCGGACAGACCTAGCCCGCTTAAATTTTACAAAAAATACCTGGACCTTTTTAATTTTATACCGTCAACATATTTAATGTGTATATTTATTAACAATTTTTCCAAATATTAATCATATATTTTATATTTTTATTCTATAGCAATGGCAATCTATTCCCATAATAGGCGCTTTATAAATTCATTATACTTGATATTATGCATTGTGTATTTATAATTGAGTCATATCATAAGTAACTGTTTATTTATTTGTAAATTTGCTATTAAATTTATATATTTAAAGATAGCTCTTAAAATATAAATAAATTATATATAACATTTGTAATATATCTTCAAATAGTATTAATTAAAATCAATATATTAGCTTAAAATTCAAAAAAATATATCAAAATATTAATGTTCGGTTGACCATAAAAATTTTATTCTGAGATTTTTGAGCTAGCTTTATTTTTTTATATAGATTATTGGGCCCAGGTCGTTAACTTTTTATGTACCAATAACCTGATCCAGCCCGTTAAATTTTATCCGCCGTCCCATGGGCCTGTATTTAAAACTAGCCAGGACAGGCTTTGCAGATTTCTACTCTGAATAATATAATATTTTTCTAATTTTTAATGTTGGAATATCATTAAAGATATTCCAAATAAATGTTTTTTATTTAGCTAAACCCAATCGTACTACAGTTCAGGAAATACTTAAAATATCTTCCAGACTTCAATTAATTAACAATTTTAACGGAATACCTTATAAAGCTTATTCTAGAGAAGATCGTGTCTTAATAAAATTATATTTATACCAGTGTCTAAATGATAAAAAATATTCATTAAAGACATCTCTCTTCAAAATATACATGTAACTCCCCCCCCCCTCGTCCCCTCCCCATTGTACTATAATAACCCCATGATATTAATTTAAAAAAAATATAATGAACCACCATTTGTAATTTCCCAACAAAATCCCAATTAAGACTTTTTATGCATAATAATTTAGGCTTGGACCAGTGGCGTCACTAGGGAGGGGCGCGCAGGGGCTCAAGCTCCCTGAAAAATTTGAATACCCCCCTGAAGCAAAAAAAAAAATTTTTTTTAATGGTTCCTTAATATCCCCTTAAACTAAAAAGAACTTTTTTTGATTGTCCCCTGTTTATTATAATTCTATTAAGTAATATATAGATTTAATTTTATTATTTAAAAATTAATAAGACTATCTAAATTTTATTAGATTAGTTTAATACATATAAATTATATTTTCACTATGTCAGCTTGCAATCAAATTCTTTGTTAAAAATAAAATATCAATATCATGCATAATGTTTAAATATC